AGTGTAGTTTTATTAACTACTTTTCAAATACTGCCAATCTTACAAGAAAGGATTCGACAGGCTTAGAATCATGATCCTCCTCATTGATAACATAATTGAAGCTATTAAGAATGGGAATGAAAACAAATTTAAATTTCAGAATGAAGTTCTTCCATTTAATGACAGATTATGTATTCCTAATTGGATGTATTGCATAGGGAGACCTGGAGTAAGCTCACTCGTTACCTTAAATGATGCATCCTGGTGCAACCAAAATGTGTCAGTTGTTGAGATCACATTATTGGTAGTCCAAAATGAATAAGGAAGCGTTAGAGTATGATCTTGATATGTCTAGTATGTCAAATAGTGAAAACTGAGCAACAAACATCCGCGGGGAAGTTACAACAATTATCCATTCTAGATTGGAAGTGGGAAAATTTTAATATGATGTTGATAAATATTTGGGTCTACTTCTGCAGCTTCGATTGCTTCCTCATCTCGACACTCATTTATGTTGTCTCCTGACCTTATTCGCCGATTTGTATAGAAGGCACTTAAGGATGTCCTTCCTACTACTCTCACTTCAGCTTTTCTACTGGTGTTGCTCCAGGGTTGAGTCTTTGTGTTTGATGAGTTTAAAAGGCCAGCAGGAGTGCTTGATCCTAGAGCACTTAGGGGTGGCGATTTTGAGAATTGCAGTAGTTTTAATCCCAATTGTTCTATTTCCTTTATTTCTATTATTTTGGTTATTCTATTAGACCATTAGATTTTTCTGTTAAATCAACTATTTGGGATTGATGGCGTCATCGGTTAGGCCATCCTCATTCAACAAGATTACTAACAATGTTTCAGAATAATGTTTTACCAGCTAAGCTTGATTCTTCATCTTTTACTACTTGCGTGAGTTGTATATAAACAAAAACAACTCAGTCTTCGTTCTCTTGGAGTACCATAGTTTATGCGACACTGTTTGAGCTTGTACACATGGATCTTTGGGGACCATCTCCAGTCACTTCCCATGTTGGTTTTTGCTATTTTGGCCTCTCTTTTTTTTTATCATGATACGAGGTATACATGGGTTTACTTTATATGGTAAAAATCATATCTCATGTCCTGTGCTATGGAGTTTATTCAAATGATTAAGACTCCAGTTAACAAAAGTATCAAAATTATTCAGTATGATCTGGGAGGAGAATTCATTACAAATCCTTTGCTTTCTTTCTAGAAGACACATGGAATCTTGTCTGAACAGTCATGTCTAGGGGTTTCTCAACGAAATGGAGTGATTGAGCGTAAGAACTGACATGTCTTCGAGCTAACCCGAGCTATCTTGTTCCGCTCTTCTATACCGAATCACTTTTGGGCGGAAGCAGGCATACTGTCGTCTATCTTATAAACCGCCAAATCACTTTTGTATTGGATAATCAGTCTCCTTATCAAGCTTTGTTTGGGAAGGCTCCGGTCTATGACTACTTGGTGTCTTTGGTTGTGTTTGTTATGTCTTACTCCATAAAAAATAAGGGACAAAACTACAGCCGAAGACAACTATATGTGTGTTCATTGGATATAGTGAATAACACAAGGGATACATGTGTTATGATCTGACAACTAGAAGACTTTGTATCTCTTGCCATGTTGTTTTTCTAGAGCAAGTTATGTATTATTCTTCAAACTCAAAGGAGGAGTCTGCCGGAGCTCTCCAATTCCTACCCCCTTAGCACATTTTAATGGAATCACTCCAACCATAGCGGCAGCAGGGAAACAAGGAGGAAATGCTGAGGGAAACTTACTTTATACACCTCATGGGACACCGTCGAACCAAGTCTCTTCCTCAACGGGATCGTCACCTTCTTCTTCGTCAGGTACATATGATCTTTTGTCCTCGCCCTCGGGATCGTCTCCTGACAACTCATCTTCTCATCAATCTAGCTAATCATCATCGGTCTTTGTATGGAATTAAACAAGCTCCCACAACTTGGTTTGAGAAGTTTTATGAGATCATAATTCAAGCAGGTTTTTCTCAAAGCGATAATGACCCTTTCCTGTTTATTTAGTAGACAGTGAATGGAATTGTTGTATTGTTGTTGTACGTTTACGATACGGTGATCAGTGATAGTGATCTCGATGGGATACAAGATCTTAAAGAGTCATTACATAATGTCTTCAAGCTTAAGGAGTTAGGTGATGTTTCTTATTTCTCAGGGCTTGAAGTTCAACACTCTTTATCGGGTTTGTTTGTGTGTCAGAAGACATATATAGCAGATCTTCTAACATCGTCGTCGTAATTCAATGAGTGCAAACCTAGTGCAACACCCATGGAGCGAAATCTCAGGCTGAGTAGAGAGGTTGGAGACTTACTTGAAGACCAGACGATGTACCGTAGTATATTGTTGGAAGTTTGATATATCTTACACACACAAGCCAGATATCTCTTATTCGGTTCAAGTCCTTTGTCAATTTCTTGGAATTGCAAGAGTAAGATCTTGATTCCGTGCATAGACTTCTTCGATACCTGAAGAATACAGAAGAAGATGCAAGCATGTTTTTTCTGGCAAAAGCCAGTTTTTGAGACTTTTTGCTCGTGCAGATTATGCAGGGTGTATAGACACACGACGGTGAACATCCGTGGACTAGTGTCGATCTGACGATACCAAGCTAAAAAAGCTTTGGGTGCTCTTTGATTTTGTTTATGGCTTGATAATTTGAAAGCCAAATTAAACCAAGACAAGTAGCTAGCTATAAATGTTATATATGACAATCTCCATCGTTTCCTCCCTCTTTATATCTACCAACCACTTTTCCCCACGCATCCCACTAATCCAAAACAAAGAATGGAAGACTTGCCTTGTCCTCTCTTCCATTATTTCACCCTTTATCAGATGATTGGAACCATTTTCGAATCTGGAACAAGTGGTCATTGCAAGCCTTCGTTATAAAATCATCAAGGGGTCGTTTGGATGAGAGATTTTAATAACGAGGGATTTAAGCCTAAATCTCTTGTTTAAAATACCTGGAAATTTATATGTAGGATTTGTTTAAAATAACTTGTTTGGATCAAGAAGTGGAATTTTAACATCAAACTCTAAATTACATTATTATCCTTGTCTCCTTCCCCAGTCCCTTGTTCGTCTGTTCATTTTTTATTTTCATGCTCCACCCATCTATTATTGTGCATATCTCGATCTGCTTCAACAAAATCAAGTCTTATAAGTTGGGCATGTTCTTCTGTGTTGCTGGGTTTAAATCCAAAACCCATTCAACCATTATGAAATTGACCACCACAAGCATGCGCCGACACAATCAAAGGCGGATAGATCTTTAATCGAAAGGGAAGCCGATGAAGATTGAAACCACAAGCCAGTGCTGACACAATCAACCTGTAGGGACTCAAACACCGACGATATGGAGGGCTGAGAGGGGAGTCAAGCGGAGATTCGGCTTGTGAATCAGGGCTTTTTGGGGTCGATTTGAGATGGGCGAGGATGATTGGCGTTTGACTGTTTGTGCTTTCGATCTCCCGTCGTTCGGCCCGACCTTCCTCTGTGCAGAAGACGGGAAGAAGCAAAGGGCACAGAGAAGTCACGCGGAGGAGAACCAATTTCCTCGATCTAAAACCGAACCTCCATATACAGAGAGAGACAAGTCAGATAGTGGCGAAGCTTTCTCTACTGGTCGGGACTGGATTTTGACGATTTGGAAGGGACAGAGTGACAAAGATGGACGAGAAGGCAAGATTTGGGTTAGGGAAGGGATAATTAGGGAAAAGAAATAAAAATAATGAGGGATTGTGAAATAGCTGATGGTGATCAGCTATTTCAAAAACCCACATTTGAAGGTTTTTAAAATCTCTAATGGTAAAAAACTCTCATCTTTCCAAACGCATGATTGTTTTAAAATCCTGCAAAATGAGGGAATGTTTTAAAATCACTCATAAATCACTCATTACAATCTCTTATCCAAACGACCCCCAAGGCTCAGCTCATCTCGAGGTTCCCACTCCAATCTCATTTTCGAAGTTACTACACGTGGCCTACCTTACTCTTAGACTTCGGTGGCCAAAATTTTGAGAGAGATTGATAAATGGGATGGGTAGGAAAACGTACAGATCACCACCACTTCTTCTCATAGCCTTGAGAGTGAAGCTTCTCGTTACTATCCATCCCACCATCACCATTAAATTTTCCTTTACCCTTGAGAGCGCCGGTGAGGGTCCTGTCTCAGGTTTGGAATGCATAAATGTGAGTATGATCACTAAAAACGTGCATCAGCATATATATAGGTGAATCCGTTTGTGGAGATGGAAGAATGAATGTGGCCATTTGATGATCATTAAAAAAAAAAAGAAATCCAAGCGGGTGGGGTGCTTGAAGAAAAAGAGAGCTTTAAGTATGTTTGCCATGTGTTGGTTGAACTTAATTATAATGATAATATGATATGCACAAATGTAAGAAATAAGGATATATGATGGGTTAACAATAACATGCATGAAGAGAAACAAAAGGGAAGTATAGAGATGGGGATGGTGGTAGTTTAATGATACTAATTCCTTCATTAATTATATGCTCTCGCCTCAATTTATTGGTTATGAGTCCTTTTCATGTGGGGTTGAAGTGACTACAAAGATTTTCATTTGAGGATAAACGAGAGAAATGAGGTATTATTAGATAGCCTTTTGAATCCATGATTAGTCATGTATGATGGGAATAGGTTAGGGTGGATACTAGTTTTTTAGTAACCATTGTGGCTACCTATATCTAAACCCTTCATTAGCTCTATTTTTTCCTTTTTTTAAAATGACGGTCAAGATTAAATTAAGGATAGTTTGGGAATCAAAATATTATCACACCAGATTATTACCTATATTTATAACCTACCTTTCCAAACCCTACCTCTACCCTCTCCACCCCTCCCACCTCCCGCCGTCCGCCTCCCTCACCCTCCCGCCTCCCTCACCCTCCCGCCGCCCTCACCCTCCCTCTGCCCACCTCAACTCCCACCCCACCTCCGCCCACCTCATCCCCTCCCCCCACCTCCGCCCGCCCTCCCCTCTCTTCCACTCTCTCCCCCCATACCCAATTTATTTTTCCACCTTCGCCCACCTCATCCACCTCCCCCCTTACCCCTCGCTGCCGCCGCCACCTCAGCTCCCCGCTCCCCTGCCGGCCGCGTCGTACGTCGAGCACCAGAAGGAGACGGCCACCTCAGCTCCCCGCTCCCCTGCCTGCAGGCCACCTCAGCTCCCCGCTCCCCTGCCTGCCGCCGCCGTCACGATCAGGAACGACGTCAATGTCAAGAAGGAGACGGTTCGGATCGAGGAGGATGAGGAGAATCCCGGTAGTTTCCTCGTCGTGCTCATCATCGTCTCTGCAATTGGAAGGAGGAATTCCATTGGAATGGTATGTTTTTTTTAAATGGTAGTCATTTTTTTTCAGTAGTCATTTTTTTTAAATGGTAGTCATGTTTTTCGTAGTGGTAGTGTTATTGTCGTATTGGTATAGTTTTTGTCGCATTGGTATTGATTTTGTCGCATTGGTATTGATTTTGTTACATTGGTATCGATTTTGTCGCATTGGTAGTGATTAAATCTGCAATGGTATTGATGTTTTGCGAAATGGTAGTGTTTTTATTTCTTGAATGGTATTGATGTTTTGTGAAATGGTAGTGTTTTTATTTCTTGAATGGTAGTTTTCGTGTAATGGTATAAATTTATTTCTGCAATGGTAGTTTTCGTGTAATGGTATAGATTTATTTCTGCAATGGTATTGATATTTTTCAAAGTGGTAGTGTTTGTCTAATGGATTGGTACTGATTTCGGTTTTTTTTTTTTTTTGGCAGAAAGATTGAGAAAAATATGGAAAGGAAATCTGGCTGGAGATTACGGAAGTGAGAGAAAGAGAGAATTTTAATTAATAGATTTTTGTAACTGCCTTAAATGTAATTTATTAAAAAATTAATTAATATAATTTATTTTTCCATACCCAATTTACCCTTAGTAACCACGGTGATTACTATAAAAAAGTACTCACCGTAACCGCTCCCATGTATGATGGATATCTTTGTGCAAACAAAACAAATTATGGCTCTTTTAATGACATCATAATCTGGATTGTTACAAGTAGGGATGGCAATATTACCCATACCCATGGATCATGGTTTGTTACTAGTAGGGATGGCAATATTACCCATACTCATGGGTATTTTACTATCCAATTCAATTGGGTTGGGTATGGAATCCAAATAGATGTTATATGGGTAGAGTTTGATGTAGGGGTGAACAAACACACCCGCAAACCGACCCACCCGTCCAACCCGACCCAACCCACCCGTATTTATCGCTAAAACGAAGGTTTTGGGTTGGGTGGCGGTTTTCTTTTGTGCAATCCGCCACTTTTGGGTTGGGTTTGGATTTTGGATTACACAACCCGTAGAACCCGACCCAACCCGTGTTCCAACTATTAGTATGAGTTCGTATCTAAAAAATATTTATGTCGTATATAGCCATACTTATGTGAAAATTAAGATATTTCGCCATGTTTTTTCTATCATGGTCTCCCTAATCTAATGCATTCTTTGACTTAAATTTTAGACATAAATTGAATATAATTATGATTCACGTAATCATTTTCCTTGTATACAATTTTAATAGAATAACATATTATGGATGCATTTGTTTATAACCTTTTTAGCCTATTTCAACAAATATCGTGAAACAAACTAGACATAAATCACATTTTATTAAAACTCAAACAACATTTGTGAATTTTGATACCTTTCACCTTGGTTTATTTGTTTGAAATTTTAATTAGTTATAAAATATTTTTATGGTGTATAATAATTATATATTTTATGTTGGGTTGGGTTTTTACTTAAAAATATGGCAAAATACAGCTGTATATCCACAACTTTCAGCTTTGTGACAAATATATCCACAACTATCGAAATACACGATATATCCAAAAATCAGAGGGTCGTGTGACAAATCTACCCAATTCCGTCTCAAACTTTAACGGCGTCTCAGACGGCGTGGAATACACTAACGGAGTGCTGACTCATCACCGTATCACTTGCCACATAAGCCAAAAAGCAATAAAACGTTACACGTGGACACCAAGTAGGCTAAATGAATAAAAACGAAAACAAAAAATCCACTACCCCTATTTAATCCGTCGGGCTCTTCTCTCTTCCCCCTTTCCCCAATCGAAAAAATGAGGGTTCTTGGTTCTGGTTCGAATTCAAAAATCGGCGTCGTCGGAGAGGACGTCGCTGCGTGCGTTGAGCAACCTCGTCACCGGCGGCAGTCAACGACGTCGTCAACAAAGAACTTCGCGGCAAATACCCAGGAGAAGCAGGTTCTCATCGTCGGATTAAGGGGCAAAATCGCGACAACCAGAATTTCCCAGGCAGCAGTGGTCCCTTCTCGAAATTGCTATGTCGCTTTCCCACCTTCAAACCAACCACCGAATCACGAAAAGTAAACAATCCACTATAAGAACCTTTCGAACCAAAATCAAAAGACACAACAAGCTTATTTTAAGGGTATGGGAAACTCACAAACGAAGCGAACCTGAAAATGGAAGTCCTTGGCCGCGATTAGGGTTTCTCGGCAACGATCTTCTCGGGTTCCCTGGCCTTCGACGGTGCACCTTAGACTTCCCCACTGTGCTTGTGTTTCGCGGAAATATGGTGCTCCTGATAATCACCATGGCGCGGACTGCATGGAACCCGTCGGCGCAAAATGGAGGCGATGGTTGTGGTTCGAATCGAAAACTAGGTTTGGGGTAGGGTTAATTGGGGGGTGGAGGCGTCGATCAGTGATATTCCGCCGTTTTTCTGGGTTTGAAGGCTCTACTCTCGCCGTCGGAGTGGTCGGAAAAGGGAGAGCTTCGCGAAAGGGGAGAAGACAGATCGAAAGGGGAGAAGATGGATCGAAATGGAAGGTGGGGCGTCGTTTAGTGGTTTTAGGGTTTTTTCCCCTCTTTTAATCCACGTCAGACAGTGGGGTCAAAAAACCCACCACGTCAGCAAAAACCGTTTGTCCAGTCATCAGTTTAACTGACGGAGTTACCGGACAAGACGAAAATGGATATATCGTGTATTTCAATAGATGTGGATATATTTGGCACAAAGGTGATAGTTGTGGATATACAGGTGTATTTTGCCTAAAAATATCGCCAACCCGACCCAACCCAATTATAAACAAACCGTAGGGTTTACATTTTTTTGGGTAGGTTTGGGTTTGATAATTCCCAAACCGTAGTGCATGGGTCGGGTGATTAAAATACTTAAACCCGAACCAACCGACCCATGTACACGCCTAGTTTGATGAGTTTGTAGTTTGTACCCATACCCATTTACTTGGGTTGGGTTGGATTGGGTTTTTAACATATGGATTTGGGTTTGTACCCATAGCCAAATGCAAATTACAGTTTGGTACCTAAACTTAATAGTTATGCATATTTAGTACCTAAATTATTTTTTTGCATATAAGTCCTCAAAATATCGATGAAAAATTACACTTTAATACCTAAAAATTTTTGGTCTCACATTTTGGTGCCTAAACTTTTCAAGATTTACAAATAGGTCCAATTTTTGTATGTGTAGTTAAAACACCCTCAAGTAAATGGATATCCATATCCAACCCATAGTCCCATACCCATTTAGATAATATCCATATCTAACCCAAACTCATATACAAACCCCAAACCCATACACACATCACCCAAACCCTACCCATAATAAATGGTCTACTTGGGTTTGGGCAAAATTACCCATGAGTGGGTAAATTGCCATCCCTAGTTGCTAGCATATGGATCCCAGCGTCGTCGCGCTCACCCTCTTCTCCGGCGATGCAACTCGGAAGCCCTTCGCCGCCTCGACCCTCCTTGCTTCCTCCTCCCATGACGCCTCCATCTTCGGCGACGCACGAGACTCCCCGTCGCCCTTCTTCTCCTTCCTCGATTTCCCCGACGGCGAGCGGCTCGCCATCGCTTCCGCCGACGGCTCAGCTTCTTCCTCCGACGACAAGAAGATCGGCGACCATCCTGGCGGCTGACTTGCGTCCGGGCCTGACTCCATCGTCGTATTCTTCCTTTCCCCCTCCGGTGACGCGTGAGGCGGCTCAACACCGCCTCTATCCTTCTCCATCCCCGGCGGATTCCTCTTCAACGGAGACTGGGGTTCGTCCTCAATCGGGAGAGAGATAGCTCCACTGCCGCCTTCTTCCTCATTCGCCGCCAGATCTGTTAACGTCGTCGGCGATCCAATCCAACGGCTTCCCACCGCCTCTGCTTCGAGCCGTCGGTCGAGGACGACACGCCCCTCCTCCGGTGGCTTCCTCCTCAACCTCGCGTCCTCGTCGCCTGATGTCATCTCGGGAGCCGCCTTAAATCGCTCCAACAGGACAGCGGATCGCGAAGTCTCCCGCGCGATTCGCGATGCCTGTGACAAATCGCGACGATCTTGCTCCTTCCGGAACTTTCAGCTGCCGAACGAGGTTGGCGTCGTCTCTATTGACGTGGTAGCGGCCACCCTGTTTGCGGCAGAGTCAATTATTGATGATGACAGCGGGGGAACCTCAACCATCTTCTTCGTGGTTGGTATGGTGGCGGGCTCGGTGATGGCGGCCGTAGGGGTCACAAGATTGCCTCCTTCTTCTTCGACTTCACCATCGTCGATCGCCTCCTCCTTTTCATCAGCCTTCCTCTCAGTTTCGACAGCCTCAGCTTGACGCAACGCCAACTTGTCTTCTTCTTCGACTGCCGCTGGAATAACGGCGGTGTGTCCTCCGTCGGTGATGGTGGTGGTGAAGTCGCCACGGTGGTGGTGGTTGGCTTGGTTCGCCGCGGCGAGTCTAGGAGTCGCATGATCTCCTCCATATTCGCCTTCCACCTTCGTTCCTCTTGGGTTCGGCGATCGAGCGCTTGTTGTATGAGGGCGTCTAGCCGATTGAGCGCGGAAGCGAAGAGCTGTGACGAGCTCATTCAGGCTCTGATACCAAATGATAGAACCTGTGCTAGGGAGTCTATCGATCAATTACGGAATTGGGATTTAGGGATTAGAGAACACAATTAGGGTCTTGAGAAGAGAAAGATAGAGAATCGGCCTAGGCCCTTTAGAGGGATTGAGATCTAGAATTGAAAGGATTGGGAGATTAGGGTTTAGGAGAGTTTTCTTAATATTCTTCTTATTGGTTCTGAATGAATAGGCCTAGTACATATTTATAGCGAATATAGGAAAACTCTACCAATAAACCTAATTCTACTAGAATACTACTAACCATAATAAGAATTATCCTATTAGTAATAATAATAATAAATAATAATAATAAATATAGAAACCCTAACAAAATTGTTACGTCACAATCTGAATAGGCCTAATAAATATGTACCCCTATCATTAATAGTGATTAAATGGTAAAGTTAGCATTTATAGTGAGCGAGAAATTATAAACTACAAAGCATAATAATTTCTTGAAATTGAACTCTATATCTTAGCTGAAGAGAGGGTGAAAATATATAATCATATCAATTTCAATATTTATTTATCATATGCTTTACATTTTCTAATTTAAAATCAAATATTAAAAAGTGTTTCAACTCATCATAAACTACACATAACTCAGGTCACTAAGGCAGTTGATCTCCCCATCCCTCAACTTCTAGAATTAATGATTCCCATATAACCTGGCAAAGAGACAATTTTTTTACGGTTTGGCAAGAGCATAGAATGATGTGTGTCCAGAGAGAGTGGAGCTAGCTAGCTACGAGACAACAACCTTCGGTTTCTTTCTAGCTTTGTTTGTATATATACATTACTTCGCTACATACAAATGAGTATTCAACCCTGCCGACATACACTACAATTGCCAAAGAAGCCGCCAACAGATGATAAATATAATGCGGCATCGATGGATTCAGCGTCTCTTCTCATGTCTTTAATATGATATAACTATAACTATAATTGTACACTAGCTTTGTTCCTGGTCGAATTATTATTATTAACAATCATTTAAAATCATAATTAAAGTACACCATTATACTACATTCTCGCTAAAATTTTCATTTGTTCTTGGACCATCCCACAAATAATGTAGCTACTCTTGCATTGTCCCAAGCTTTCAGAATATTTCGTTTTTTTCCCCAAAATTAGACAGTTTTTTTTAGTAAACTATATATATATATATATATATATATATATATATATATATATATATATATATATATGGTAAAGGCTAGCGTACGCCCGGGCGTACCTTAGTCTACCGTACGCCCGTTGAGTTTTACTATTTAGATCATGAATTAACCGGAGTTTTTGGCATGATACTATACCCTAACCTCTAATGGATAAACCCCAATCCCTAATTTTCTAACCCAACTCATGAGATTCATTTAATCTTAAAAAGTAAATCAACAATAATTTTGACAAATCAAGACCGTTAATTTTCATTTCAAGATTAAATGAATATTATGCTTTGGATTAGTGAATTAGGGACTGGGGTTTATCCATTAGAGGTTAGGGTATAGTATCATGCCAAAAACTCCGGTTAATTCATTGTCTAAATAGCAAAACTCAACGGGCGTACGTAGACTAAGGTACGCCCGGACGTACGCTAGCCTGAACCATATATATATATATATATATATATATATATATATATAGTTAATGTCACTTATGATGTGGTAAAAATCCCCAATGTGAGAGGTATTTTATTCGGAAATTATATTTTTACAATGAGTGTTACAATGAAGACAGGTAGCCGGCAGTGGGACCATTCACGCAACAAAATTATATTTTTTTTACACAATCCTACTAATTATTTAAGCATATTCATTCATATTCACCGCATAAGCTACGTTTTCATGCACTTTCATTCATCTCGACTTACTTAAACAATTTATATATTGTTTCTGTCTCATCACAAAAACAATCTATATATATCGCGTCTTCTACGAGCAAGAGACTTTGATCATATTGGAATGTGCTAGCTAGCTACGAAGGACTAATTCTGTCGTGATTCATCACAGGCAGAGTCAGTCAATTCTTCCACCTTTTCCTTGTTTCCTCTCATTCTACTAAGGACTAATGACCTTTTCCTTTAAAATCCTCCGCCACCAAACGCCACCATTTACTCACACCCAAACTAAACTTCCTCCGTCGCCCCAAACGAAAACAAAAAAACAACAACATGGCAACGGCGGCAGCGAAATTATCAACGGTCGTGATCACCGAGACTTGGTAAGTGCACTCCTAGATTCAACGGCTGACGAACTGTTCCAAGCACGTACATTGATACCCAACCAAAACGAACTGTTCCAAAATGAACCTCTTGTCCGATGTCTTGCTCACTTTTAGACTTTCTTTAATGTATGGGTGGTTGTTCGGCGGAAGATTTAAATTTAAAGTCTCAGGTTCAATTCTTGAGCAGCGCAGCTAACTGTTAGAAACATAAATTATTTGGTTTAATTTATTATAATAACGTTAGTTCAAATTAGTAAGAACCAAATAGTTGCACACTCCTAACGATAACTGGACGACTAATGTATGATGAGACGATTGTGAACACTATAAACATATCCATATATACTCTTTACATAGAGTGTTATAAACTTGTAAGCACCATTGAAAAATTCAATCTTGAAATGAGCTGTCTATCTAGCTACTAATCAAGACTCGCACTCTTCGTGGTGGCAGAGGATATGGAGGCTTCATGTGCCTGAAAGAGTTAGAGTCTTTGTGTGGATGGCCGCTCAGAGCAAGTTAACGACCAACAGCATGAGAAAGTACAGGCATTTAACTGAAGATGACGAGTGCCCATACTGCGACAACACCCCAGAAACAAACCGGCATGTCTTACGTGACTATAACATGGCAAAGGCTGTTTGGAGCAGGGTCATACCTCTACAGCAACAACCTCAGTTCTTCCATGCGGATTACAATGCTTGGTTGCAGGATAATCTGTTGGATGATTCTCTCGGCAACTGGCCGGGGAATTGGGCTAGTTTTTTCAACCTAATCGCTTGGTACATCTGGAAATGCAACGATAGTATTTTTTAAAGGGAAAAGGCTATCTCCTTCCACTCTTCACAACTATGTCATTAGTAAGGCCCGAGACTGGGCAAAAGCTTGGGAGACATCAAGGTTGAAAGACAACTTCAGTATGGTTACTGCGAGAAGTGAAGCGCTCATAGGGTGGATGGCTCCGCCAACCGGCTGGTGGAAAGTAAACACTGATGGAGCTGCTCAAATGAACTCGGGGCTTGCTACAGCAGGTGGCGTTATTCGGAACAGATCTAGAGATTGGGTCAGTGGATTTTGCAGCAAGCTTGGAACAGGTACAGCCCTTATGGCAGAGTTATGGGGAATTTATCAGGGTCTTTTATTGGCTTGGAAAAAGGGAATCCAATTCCTGGTCCTTGAAGCCGACTCAAGACTCGCTTTGGATATGATTGAAAAGTGAAATGATCAAGCTCACCCTTATGCTACAATTCTTGGGGCGATTCGCAGACTTATCACTCAAGGGTGGATTGTTCGTCTAGTTCATACTTACCGTGAAAGGAATAGAGTCGCGGACTGGCTCTGGAAGTACAGTCTCGTCTATCCCTTTGGTACGCATGAGCTAGAAGAACCGCTACCGGATTTGGCCATAATTATTAGAGAGGATCTTATGGGAATTAGCTTCCCTCGTCAAGTGCAGCAAGATAGAAATATTTAAGCTTGTTCTTCTGTGTCTGTGACAGGGCTTTTAGCATTTTGGTTTTAACCTACTCACTTTGCCTTGTTTCCCCTGGCTGTTTTTCCAGCCTCCATTTAATCAAAAAGAAAAAAAAAATCTAGCTACTAATTAATGACTACTTCTGTCGTGATTTGCCCCACATAAACACACATTCAATTCTTCCACTTTTTTCTTGTTTACTCACATACTCTACTCCCAAACAGCAAAACCTCCCCTATAAAATCCTCCCTCCACAAACACCACCATTCCCTCACCACCCAAACTAAAACTTCCTCCTTCCCTTCCCACACAAACAAACAAAACATGGCAACGGCGGCGCCGGCGAAATTCCCCACGGTGGACAACTGCGACTCAACAGGGCGGGAAAACCACACGGTGGTGGCCGACATGGACGGGACCCTCCTCATCGGCCGGAGCTCGTTCCCATACTTCGCCCTGGTGGCGTTCGAGGCCGGCGGCGTCCTCCGCCTCCTCCTCCTCCTCCTCGCCTCTCCGCTCGCCGCCATCCTCTACCACCTCGTCTCCGAGAGGGCCGGCATCCAGGTCCTCATCTTCTCCACCTTCGCCGGGATGAGGGTCGCCGACATCGAGTCCGTCGCGCGTGCCGTCCTCCCCAAGTTCTACACCGCCGACCTCCACCCGGAGTCGTGGCGGGTCTTCAGCGCGTGCGGCAGGCGCGTGGTCCTGACCGCCAACCCGCGGGTCATGGTCGAGCCCACGCTCAGGGGCTTCCTGGGCGCCGACCTCGTGCTCGGGACGGAGATCGCCGCTTTCCGAGGGCGCGCCACCGGGTTCGTGAAGGGCGGCGCGGCTGGGGTGCTGGTCGGGGAGAGTAAAGCACACGCGCTAAGGGGGGCGCTGGGAGAGGATTGCCAGCCGGAGATTGGGCTCGGCGACCGGCGTACCGACGAACCGTTTATGGCGCTTTGCAAGGTTTGTGGCTTTGTGCGTTGTTTGTTCTTTTTTTACTTGCATGGTCTGCAGTAGGGGTGTTCAAATGGTTACCATGGTTATAATCAAATCAAATAAGGCTAAATTTCATTAACCATGGAATACAATATCATAACCAAACCGTCCAAACTAATACAACAACCAAATTAACCAAACTAAAGTTTAATCGGTTTGATTAATTGGTTAACCAGATTAACCAATATAAAATCACATTATCATTGACGATGAAAATTTTCCGGTTAATGCAACAATTAGCAATTTATATAATGAATAAAACATAACAACCAACACGTAGTTATAGTTGACCCTTACGATTAGTATAGAAGTACTGACCTAACAAAAATTTATGACAATGGTATGGGTTAATGAATTGTTTGTGTTTGTGAAAATTGACTTAGTATCTTAGCAGTTATCATAGGCTGGAAATGACCTTCCTTTCGGGGTCGTTTGGATGAGTTTATTGTCAATGTGCTATTTGTAGAGTCAAATAACTTATTTATTGCTCATGCGGTATTCCAGTGTTATTTTAGTGGTAATTGAAATAAAGTATCTCGTTTGGTTGAACCATGCAAATGTGGTATTTGACATGTGGTATTTTGTAAAAGCAGAGTGATAAAACGAGTTATTTCGAAATAACACATGAGTATAAGTTATTTCAAATAACTCGTTTTGAGTTATTTGTAAATAACTCACTGTCCAAATAACTCATTTCACTAAAACGCTGCCAAACGAGTTATTTGCGTCCAAATAACTCATTGTGAGTTATTTGAACCCAAATAACTCATACAAATACTCCATCCAAACGACCCCTTCAAGTTTTCATCCATCATAATGTATGAAATTTATCTAAATTAGGCGTTCATATGTTGTGGTCTACATTTTACATATACAAATATACACTATATGAGCAATATTGAGCTTTATATTTTATGAGTCTAAAAGGGATGAACGTTAACTCTTGAGTGATTATGCAAAGTATTAAGTATGTGTATATAATATATGTTAGATATATGACTAATTACTTAACTGGTTAATTTGGTTTGACTGGTTAGAAGTGTCTGAAACCAAACCAAACCACCTAAACCAAACAAGCTAAAAACTTTAACCAAACCAAACCAATTATCCAAATTAACCAAACCAAATTATCCAAATAATACCGGTTAAAACGATTATCATGGTAGACAAACCATTTGAACACCCTAGTCTGCAGTAACTAACAAGTTGTCTCTCTCTCTCTCTGTTTTGGAATTCAGTGAATTGGTGGTTAATGCTTTTTTACTAGCGCGCTAACTTCTAACAGCTTTTTTGGATTTACTTCTCTACGAAATCCAGTCAATTTAATAGAGGTGCACCTGGGAAAAGTTCTAGCTTCCTCTACGGAAAAACAACTGGCAACCCGAATCGTTTGTCTAACTCGATCCAATTTACCTGTTTTTACCAATTAAAATAATTTTCAAAATCTGGCAACAATTTTTGTTTATATAAAAAGCATTTCTCTTTGAGTTGTGACTTGTGTGGGTAATTTTAGATTATACAAGTCATAGAATCCGACCTAACCAATGTTACAACTATTTCCGTAATTGTTGGTATTCAAAAACATATTTATGTCATTTATAAGCATATTCGAGTGAAAGTTAGAATATGTTATCATGTTATTCTCTCGTAGTCTCGCCAACCTAATGTATTTTTTTTTTACTGAAAAATAATTGTCAATTAAATAATTATAGTCTTTCGTTTTATGATGCAAAATACTTGTTTTTTTTTGTTAGTATTGTTGGGTTGGTTTTTATTTAAAAGTATAGTCAATCTGGCATGACATAATCTTACACACACCATTAGGGTTCTAAATTACTTGAATTTAATATTTTCAAAATTGTGATACATGAATTGGAAAAAAAAATTTACATAGAAATGAATCGGGTGATTAAAATGACTAAATGAATAGTACATCTCAACAAAATTCTGTTTCTCTTACCGTTTAATTAAATGCAATAGTTTTTTTTCTCCCAAATTTTAGTAGGTGGTACGTATGGACTGTGGAGTGACACATATTAGCATTTCGTTTTAAGCGTGTTGCCAAAAGGAAACCATAGATATTTCAAACGCAACGGTCAGCCCAATCGATAACTGAAAACTAATGACTGGGGCATCCATGCAGGAAGGGTTCATGGTCCCACCGGACCCGGAAGTCCGACCCGTCTCCGCCGACAACCTCCCGAGACCCGTCGTCTTCCACGACGGCCGCCTCGTCCAGAAGCCGACCCCGCTCACCGCCCTCCTCACCCTCCTCTGGCTCCCCGTCGGCTTCCCACTCGCCTGCCTCCGCGTCGCCGCCGGCTCCCTCCTCCCCATGCCCTTAGTCTACCACGCCTTCACCGCCCTCGGCGTCCGCGTCACCGTCCGCGGCAATCCCCCTCCGCCCTCCTCCTCCTCCGGCGTCCTCTTCGTCTGCTCCCACCGCACCCTCCTCGACCCGATCTTCCTCTCCGCCGCCCTCGGCCGCCCCGTCCCGGCGGTCGTCTACTCCGTCTCCCGCCTCTCCGAGCTCATCTCCCCGATCCGTACCGTCCGCCTCAGCCGCGACCGCGCCGCCGACGCCGCCATGATCCGGAAGCTCCTCGCGGAGGGCGACCTGGCGATCTGCCCCGAGGGGACCACGTGCCGGGAGCCGTTCCTTCTGCGGTTCTCGGCGCTGTTCGCGGAGCTGACCGACGAGATCGTCCCCGTCGCGATGGTGAACCGGATGGGGATGTTCCACGGGACGGCGGCGAGAGGGTGGAAAGGGATGGACCCGTTCTACTTTTTTATGAACCCGAGCCCGGCGTACGAGGTGACGTTTCTGAGCAAGCTGCCGGCGGAGCTGACGTGCGGGTCGGGGCGGAAGTCGGGCCATGAGGTGGCGAACTACATACAGAGGGTGATTGCCGCTACGGTGTCGTATGAGTGTACGAGCTTTACGAGGAAGGATAAGTACAGGGCGCTGGCTGGGAACGACGGGATCGTTGGCGTTGCTAGCTAATTCGATTTTTTTTTATTTTGTTAAAAAAAAGAAATACATGAGAAGTAAATAGTAGTGGTAACGCTGTGCTTTTCTTAAGGAATAATTGTTAGTTGGATGGAGTGGAGGACCTGCGTAAATTAGGGAAATTGGTATGGTTGAGACGATAAGTGTTTGAATGGTTTAGCGTGGTTACTCAAATTTCTCTTATTCCGGGGGAAAATATATGTGATAGGAAGTTTTATAATGATTTTCGGGTTGTTACTTAGTTACCCAAGGTTAATGTTCTTGATGAAAAGTATGGCTACTTGATTAATAGAGCTATAGATATTTCCATTTTCACTTCTTTCTTCGGAGTATGATATGGGGCTCATCGTTCATGGATATGTTTATTTTTGACTCTGTCCAGTGAGTTTTTTATAATTCGATAATTTTATAAATTAGAAAACATTTGTAGGATGCTTGGATATTAATTTGAGATTTTGTTGGTTTATTTCTATTTTGAATTTTTTTTCAAACGTGAGTTTTAATTAATTAAAATACTGCACAAGCACTTCTTATTAGTTAGATGATCTTGTATGAAACTAGGTTATGAATGGACGTTATAAAATTAGGAACCTGGAATTTTATAACATGGTTTTAAAATTTATTTTTAATAAAATTTAATAGGAAAAAGGGTTAGATAAGGTGTGATTTATGCTTAATAATATGGATAAATTATTTGATTTACCTAATGTCGGAATTTGGAGTTTTGAGTGGAAAATGATTTTTTTGGAAATTTATGAGGATTTTATAAGGTTTATTCAAAGGGTTGTTGAATTATTTGTGATAACATAAGTCTTGAAAAATGTTGGTTAAATTCTAGTTTTGAGGATTTTTGTATGAATTTGGGGAAATTATTTTGAAAGGGGTAAGGCCTTTTGTTTTTTTAAACGGATTTTGAGACTAAGTATCAAGGAGGGAATTCACAGTAAGCTAAAGGGACAAAATATGAGAAATACTGACTAAAAGAAAATAATTTCGGCTTATAGGATATTAGGATTAAAGGAGCAATTGGATTGTGGATAGTGATGGCAATTTCACCCAGCCCCGCGGGTATTACCCGACATGATCCGCGATGGGGCAGGTATTACCCGACTCGCAGTAGCGTGGGGTGGGGCATGGGTATCTACTTCCGACCCGCCCTGTTCTGCTCCGCCCCGTTCTAGACTCATTTTATCTCAATTTCTTACAATATCTATACATATTTCTCCTATTTTGACTTTTCTTCAACTAGTTAGAGTCGTCTTTCGACTTGTTAGGCTCAATTATCCATTCTATTATCAATATTTTTCATTCTTAAAGTGTTTTTCCCTACGTTTTATTGTAAAAGGTAAAATTTACTTGTATTTTTTTTAACAACATGTAAGAGTGGGTCGACCCGCCCCGCCCCGACCCGTAGTAGCGTGGGGCAGGGCATGGGAATTGAAGTACCCGCCCCGCCCCATTGCCATCACTAATTGTGGGTTACACGTCAAAGGAAATCAAGAACCGTTATTTGTGAGGTGGGTGGTTTAAAGGGTTAAATTCTACGTCTTACGTCTTTTAAGTAATTGATTTACGTGAAGTTGTCTGGGTGATTTATGTGTGTTTGATAAAGCGTGCTCTATTTGAGTTATGATACTGAGTTATATGTTTATGAGCTTTCAATATTTACTTGAAGCTTTTACGTTTATGTTTTACTATTAGTAGTACTTCACCATTAAATAAGTTAATGTGATAAGAGCAAGAGAAAGTAACATGTAGGGATAGTTTAACCTCCGCTTAGCTAGCCACTATCTTGAGGGATCCTTACCGGATGGTGATACGTTTCGCGATAGCGGGTCAGGCGTGGAGCTGGACGGTACGTGATGAGTTCCATGGTCTCCATTGTCTAGGTTTAGTTGTGCTACCAGATGGTGATACATTCCGCGGTATACATACCATAGTTTTGACCGGATTGTGATACGTTCCACGGTGGTCAAAACTCATGTGAGGCTCCCCATGGTAAGGGTAGCCATGTTTAAGTAACTAAAACTAGTAGTGGCATAAGTTAAGTCGAGGTAGAGGTCCCATAATAAGATAAAGGATGGAATACTACTTTTTAAGAGCTAAGGTTTAAAGAGTGGAATTATAAACAACTTCCACAAGTTTTGAGGTGGACACTTAAGGAAAATACCTTTAGATGCCGCGAGTTCAAGTAATGGCATAGACTGATCCCAACTCGCTCGACAGGTCATAGAGGAGGAGCAAGGGAGCACCCAGATGAGGAGCAGCCAGAGAGAGCAGCATGTCCTAGGAGGACCACGCGAGCACTACTAAGTATGTCTGACCACATAACCGAGTAAGCAACGTTTAGACTTTTAGTTATTTACTTTATGATTACGAGTAATGACTGGAGAGTAAGACTTTATGATTTGAGATTTGCCCAAGTGCTAGGGCTTTGCTTTTGAATTACAATAATTTATTTTCGGTATTGGTATTTTTAGCATAATGTTATTCTTTTTGTTCAAAATTTTAAATATGCTCCGGAACAAAACTACTATTCTAAAGTTTTAGAGACTAGAGTATTACAACCACTTTCAAAGGTATGACGGCCTGCTTCGTCATGGAAGGATTGGGCTTCAATTGGGCTGTTTAGTTGAATCTCTTTTATATGGTGTGGGCTTGAATGAGAAGAAAGGTGAGCTTGTGGGCTTAGCAAGTGAGATTTCAATGAGGCATGGGCTATTAGCAATTGAAGAGGTAATTAAGCAAGTTGATGGGCTAATCCAAGGAAGATCAACTAAAGTCGAGATTTTTGAAGTCTTGACAGGTACGAACCTACATGGGTCATCGATATGGAATTCGAGGATCTTGACGGGTTGATCTTTAGGCATGGATTCTCGTATAAGAAAATACCTTTGGATTCTTTAAGTTGTTGTAGTGTGATACCAACGAAAAGAGGAGTTATTGAAGTTTGAATTTGCTAAGGAACCGAATAGTGGGCCCATAGAACTGCAATCAAAGAGTTGGATCAATACAAGAAGATCTGTGCAAGAAGCTCAATACAAATAGATGAAGCATGACTGGAAGAAAAGGAAGCGCAAGAAGTGAAGGTGCAAAAATTGGAGGAGCCAAGGCGCGGATTGCACAGGCGACGTGGAGAAGTGGGTCGAGTCTGTCAACCTTGAGGACAAGGTTGGGATCTCAAGGAGAAGGGAATGATAGAAACCCGATTCTGTGTTTTCTATTATCAATTATAGTAAAATAATTATTATTAGGGTTAGTAGTGTTCAAATAGTATTAAGTTATTTATCAGATTTATTCCAATCTGTACTTTGTATCTTTCTTCCCAATAATCTGAAATCAATAAACAGTATTATTTGATTTATCTCTCTTATTCTCTTAATCCTCTAAATCAGTCTCTCTTCTCTCCCTCTAGGCCGTCGGCCATTCTTTTCCTTTTTCTGTCACTCACATTTCCTCCTCTAAATTCATAATCCCCAATTATATCCTTGCTATCCTAAATCTCTAATTATTTCCTAGTGCAATTACAATTCTATCAAATCCCTAAAGATCGATCTATTCTGAAATCTCTTAACCTGTACCCTAGACGCCTTAGATCACAGAGTGGCCTCGTGAGTTCTGCCATCACAAGTTTGCATTGGCCGCTGTGCGCTCTCCTCTGTACACATTCAGCTGGAAGAAGTCGAAGTGATTTTCCATTCACAAGGAACAGCAACTTCCTCCGCATTGTGACTAGAAGAGAATGACAGAATTAAGGTGCCCATGTTGCAAATTCAACAGACTCCCACCAACTCTCTACCCGACCTCAACTAACTGTCGATTGCATGCACTAGAGCTTCTTTTCACAGATGAGGGTGACAAATTAAGATTGATTTCCATCTCCAATCTTCCTTCCGAGTATTTACAAATTAAGATTGGCACGGGCTTTTTTTTCCCCTCAATTGGGATTTCAAATGGATAGATGGCTTCACTGACATCAAGTCAATCATGGCAACAGAAATTTGATGCTGCAGCTGCTACTGGAGTGGATCCATACCATACAGGTACACATCTGTTCATTTCACTTGTCAAAGCATGATGCCAGTTCTATATAGGAGCTGCTGTTCCTTGCTGTTTAGTACATGGAAACCAGTTCTGATTCTCTCATTTTTGTTCTAACCAAAAGACCTCAAGTGGTAGAACTTGCTTTTTTTTTCTTTCTTGTGCTGAATGAAAGAAAAAGACTTTCAGTGTGGTGAGTTGGATAGTTGGGAGCCATTCTCCAAACAAGGCCATTTTGGGGGTATGAAAGTATTGAAACATTTGGCTTCTTTGTTTGTTTTGTTTGAGAGGAGTAACAAAAAAACACTCAAACTGTGGAATCCTTGTTGAATTTCCAAAAGAGTTGGTTGATAGTAACTTTCAATGTTCAGGAAAAGGACACAGAAAGAAACAATAAAATGGATCGGAATTACAAAATAAGGGAGTTGGAAAGCAACAAGAGAACAAGATGAACCTTGTAATTGCCACAAACATGGGAAGAAGTTATCTTGTATATTATTCCCCTTTGGCTTTGGGCTGGCAAAAGCTCTGCAGAGTAACATGTGGATACTGCCATCAATGCATGCAGTTGGCACTCAGCCCCAAAACCAAACAAAAACAAGAAAAGAGAATGAGGGTCATATTAAGGTAAGGAAGGAAAATAACCACAGAACAGCTTTTGATTTCAGGAGCTTTGCTTTGGCTTTATTGACAACTACAATAGAGCAGGCAAAACATTAATTTTAACCTCTTCCGAGTTAGTGTTTAATAAACAATGCTCATTGGTAATAATTGTTTGCAAGTTTTGCTTCATGTACATGTATTTACTGTCTCTCTGAGATTAGGACCACACCAGAAGCATCTTTTGCCCCTCAAAATAAGGGCCCCAAAGAAGAAAAAAGATCAAAGGGAAAAAAAAAGGCAGGTTTCTGTTGCTCTGGGGACATTCAAATTGACCAGAATATTTAGTTGCTGCAAACACAACAACAGCAAAACAATAATAATAAGCAAAGGACATCATAATTTCAGCACGTTGCTCTTTTTCAGCAAAACACATACTGTAAAGGGGAAGGGTAAAGAAAAGGGAAGAATCCAGGCAGAGATCTTCTTGCTTTTAGGCTCTGGATACTTTAGCAAAAGATCTGCACTCTTTCTGAGCATCAAACCCTCTTTTTCTTCATCCAGTTCTTTATGAGTTCACTCCAGGAGATCAACAACAAGGATGGTAGATTGATGCAGCATCAACCTCTCAAGCTACAAAGAACCAACCAGGCATGGGTTCCAAACTCCATTGGTCCCTTATTCTTGCCCTCGCATTCATCATCTCATTCTTCCCATCGCATTCAGAAGCAAGAAACCAGGCTGCTGATCAGGAAGCCTGCAACCCGGTCGATCTCAGAAGCCTGGCTGATTTCAAGGCGGGAATCAAGGTCGACACATCTGGCCGCCTCTCCAAGTGGTCTGGCAATGGCTGCTGCAGCTGGGAAGGCATTGTCTGCAGCAATGCCACTGGCAGGGTGACTGAAATCCGTCTCCCGGGTCTCATCACCACAGAAGATTCCATCTTCCAGTCTGAGATGAATGGCTTCCTGTCTCCTTCCATCACGTCCATTTCTTCCCTCCAAGTTCTTGATCTTGGTGGCCTCATTAGCATTGGAGGTATGATCCCGCCATCGATTGGCTTTCGCCTCCCGGATCTCCAAAAAATCTATCTTTTTGGCAACAGGCTCACTGGGTCGTTGCCTGATAGCATAGGTAAGCTCTCAAAACTCCAAGAACTTCAATTGCATGAGAATAGCCTCTCTGGATCTCTCCCTCCAAGCATTGGCAATCTGGAAAGTCTTAACCAGCTGTTGCTGTATTCCAATGAATTCTTCGGTCCGGTTCCTGATTCAATTACCAAGTTGAGGAACCTGGTGGATTTGGATCTCCACGGGAATTCTCTAAGTGGGAAGATACCAGGCAAGATTGGCGAATTGCAAGGGTTGAAACTGCTGGATCTTTCAAACAATCACTTGACTGGAGAAATCCCAGTTTCCATCACAGACCTGAGGTCCATTTCCGTGTTGTATCTGGATACAAATTATCTCCAGGGAGAGATCCCATTTCCTTCAAGCTGTGGGGGGCAAATGTCTTCCTTGGGATTTCTCAGGCTGAGCAACAACAACCTAACAGGAAGATTACCTCCAAACTTTGGATGCTTGGTTTCGCTCCAGAGAGCTGCTCTTGACAACAACAAACTCCATGGACCAATTCCTTCAAGTTTAGGGAATCTTTCAGCTCTATCAGAGTTATACCTCGGCAGCAATCGATTATCTGGTAAATTACCATGTTCATTAGGCCAACTCTCCAGGCTCATTATGTTGAACATCTCTCACAATAAGATCAAAGGACAATTGCCTCAAGAATGCATGTCCTCCTTGCACAACCTTCAGACATTAGATCTGTCATTCAACCGGTTGAACCTGACCTCATTCCCAAGATGGATTGCACAAATGCCGTCTCTTTCCAGGATACTTCTTGCTGGTTGTGGAATCCAGGGGGAAATTCCACAGTTCTTGTATTCAACTCCAAGTCCTATCCAGGAACTGGACTTGTCAGCTAACAACCTTACTGGCATTTTACCAGGATGGTTGGGGAAACTGACTAGTCTCTACTCGCTGAATCTTTCAAGGAACTCGATTGCTTCAAACATCCCAGATACAGTTATAAACTTGCAATCTCTCGGAGTGCTGGATCTTCACTCCAACCTGATGACAGGCTCTGTGGAGAAAGTTTTCGAGATAGGAAGCAGCTTCCTCGAAGATGGTACTTTGAAGCATATTGATCTTTCTGATAACCAGTTCACAGGTGGAATTGAAAGCCTTGGGTTAGGATCACAAGCTTCAGTGAACCATCTCAATCTCTCGAGGAATTATCTCGAAAGAAGCTTGCCAAACAGCGTAGGGAGACTGATGTCGCTGCAGGTCTTGGACTTGAGCCATAATAATCTCTCTTATGAGTTGCCAGAATCGCTAGGAAATGTCATCTCATTAGAGAAGCTAAAATTGCAGAGAAACAAGTTTACTGGGAAAATACCAGGTGGGTTTCTGAACCTGAAGAGCCTAGATGAACTTGATTTGTCAGATAATCTTCTAGTTGGAAAAATTCCTGATGGTAAGCCTCTAAGCCAATTCCCCAGAAGCAGCTATTCTAGGAATGCAGGCTTATGTGGGAAGCCTCTGGATCCCTGTACTAACTCTTGATTACAAGGGAATTTTGCTTTCTTCAGAAGTTCATAAGCTTTTACTTAGCTTACTTGCTTCGAAAGATTTTCTCGTTGAATTTTCTTTCTTTTGTAATTTGTTCAGCAGTTTAGAGATATGGGTTGGGAGAGGTTTACGATCCATATTATAAATAGAACAATTACATTCTTCATATGATACTCGATTAGCGTCCCATTAACTCTCCCACCTCGCCACAGCAGAAATATGCTCTATGCACAGAACATGGAAGTGAACAATTGGAGAATTTTCTCTGAAAGAATTGGAGCCCTTTTTTATTCCATTAAATATGGTGAAAAATTCTTACAGTTCTTCTTCTAAGCACTTACAAAGTCAAGGGAATCTTGATTGATTCCTAATTGATGATAGTTCATATAGTCAACCCCATTTAACCTTATACAACATAAGATCTGCTCTGGCAGCTCTTCAGCCTTGTTCCCCTGTTCAAAAGCAAAGGAAAAAATGTATGAAGCAGCAATCAAATCCCAGATTCCATAAGGGGGGGTGCATGGAAGAAAAAAACTATAAGATATTACATTTTAAATCAATGTCTCGCTACCTGAATCGTTAGTCCAACATCCAGGACGCAGATCTTGAGTCGGTCTAGGAATGCTTCGAAGCCTTTCCTAGATATGTAACTGAATCTATGCATATCTATGTCAATCTCCAAATAATTTTCGCCCTACAGCCAGAGAAAATGTACCGATGTTTTTGTTAAATATGGACTACTATTTCCACAATGAATACGTCAAAAAAACAGCAAACTATGGCTCGCAGAACATGAAATCAGTAAAGTAGGCTTACAGAATAGAACTCATGTTGAGGACGCGACAAGACCGGCTTTTCGTTGTAAGCCTGCATAAGTTTCCTCTCTGGTGCACTCAAATGCAGATCCTCTACATTCACAACGCGCCCCAAGATCTTCAACCTCTCTCGAAAGGGCACAATTGTATCTACAGGAAACCCCCTCACTTTCTCAACCTCATCATCAATCAACCGCTGTTTTTTGAACAAGTAAATGTGAGGTGAAGCAATGTCACATGCGGATTTTAAAAAGCCAGTAACACAGCGCAGTGATGGACTTACTCTGATACTGTCCTGAAAATGGGTTGGGAGTTCCTTCAAGTAACTTTCAGAAAGCTTAAAGTACAACACAATGCTCATTCCTTCACCATCAGTCTCGCCTTGAAAAATTGCGGCTGGATATAATGGGATCTGTGAAGAGAAGATAGGAAAGTAGTATATGCATAAGTCCTCACCAACTGAAGGGCGGTATGAAGTGAACATCTTTCTGCCTCAGAAGAGGACTCAAAATGGTGCAATGAATGGAGAATACCTGAACATTTACAACAAGAATGGATGGGAGCTTTGCTGAGGTGTTAATTACAGGAAGTTCCACAAACTGAGCTATGTGATCAACCTTTCGAGGAGACAAGAAGACATCAACTCCAACTGGATAGTATGCAGCATGATTGGCGGCGAGTTCCTTCTTCTTGTCTCTGCCAGAATGCAAAGCAAAAATGAACACTTTACATCCAAGAATCGAAATTTTTTGAGTGCTCTAGTATTTACCTGAAGTAATTTGGTGCACGAACTTTGAAACTGCCCGGATCGATATGCGACCAACTATCAGGCATCTTCTTATCAATGGGACAGAAGGGCACTTGTGATCCAGCTATTGGCCTTTGCAGAATCATCTTTGAAGCAACTGCAAAGGACAGATAAATATTACAAAGGTGTGGCAAGCAAGGCACTAATGGTAGACGTTTGTTCACCTAGCAACGAGAAGAAGAGGCAAAAAGTACTTACATAAGGGGTTACTGGGATGCCCTTCCTTCCATTTGAATGACATTCTCACTGCAGACTTTTTCCTGGCACTCGGCGGGCTAGAGCTCAACGATCTTCTCTTCTCGACCGGTGACACCGTGGAAGCAAGGCAAGGCAAACAGTTTCCAGGCAGGATGCCACAGTTATCTAACAGTCCTTCCCCTTTACTATGATTACCAGCATGACTTTCATCCACAGAGACCTCGTCGAGAAACACCGGTTGCTTCACCTCATTCCCCGACGAATCTCCACCCTTATGCTCCGCAGTACCATGGCCTGCATCTCTACCAAATGTCACACTCGAAAGTCGGCCGAACTCGGACCCAGTTTGAGATAGAACACCTGCAGATGATCAATCGATCGAGGGGTTTAAGAACACCTGAGATTTAGAACCATAGAAGGATTAAGCAACACATTTACAAACCATCTGAAATGCTCTGGAAATCCTCATCACAATCTGACTCCAATGCTGCAATTGTGTCAAACCATGCCTCCTCGATGCTTCCACCTGCAACAAAAAAAGGGAATAGATTTCTAGTTTAGAAAGAGAGGCCGAGCAGAACGATACGACAAAATGAATGTATGACCGGTAGAAGAGATTCCACAGAGAATCCGACAAAAGGATCCAAACATTGGAATTGGGAAGAACAGAAAGAAGACTCCGTCGTCACCACATTTGAGTACAATAATAGCCACAAGGGCGAAAAGGGGAATCCAAAAAGTTTTCATCTTTCATAACCTTTTTCTTCAGAGCAACTCTCGACCGTCTAGCATTAAAAGACCTCTGAAAATGATGATATGGCAGTCTAACAACGCAATGTACCTTTCACAACATTACAATCAAAACTTCATAACCACATTCTTCAGAGCTTAGATACACAGGAGAAGAAGTAAAAGAGAAGGGTCTACTGCGTTTACTTTTTGCAAGAAAAATGTGACGAAAAGCAAAACTTGACCTGTACAAGTAATTAAATGACATCAGATGAAAAAGACCATCTCCTTTCTATCACCACCACCAACTATTTTTCTTTAACCAGGAAAAGGAAAAGTAGAAGGAAAGGGAAAGAAAACTTGAAGAAGTTGCCCCAATTTCACGCAAGCAAACTACCCATCCATCTCCCTACCAAACAAAATCCAGGTGCCAAAGCCAAACCCACCTCGCACCCGGGGGAAAAAACATTCATTGGAATCAGGGGAACAGAAAAAACAGGGGAAGAAGATAAGCGAAACAGAGCAGAAAGCAGGGGAAGAGGGTAGGTAACCTTGGAAAGAAGGGATATGATCGGATGAAACAGCAGCAGTTGCAGCAGTAACAGATGAAGGAAGCGGCGACGAGCCATCCGACAATCTGGACGATGACGACGGGTGCTTCTTCCTCTGCTTCCCAATTTTCTTCCTCTTCCTAGTCTTCTTCGAACAACTCAATCTGTCACTGCCGCCGCCGCCGCCAACGCACGCTCTCGGAGTCGACACACACCCGCCCATAACTTCGCCGCCCCCTGCCTTACAGCCGCCGCTCTCTGTTCCTGTGCTGTAACGCCTGCCAAATTTCAGATCAAAAAGCTCTCTCCGTCGCCATTCTCCTCCTCCGTTTCTTGAGACAATAAATAATTAAAAGGAAACCCGAATGGAAATACGGAGAGACAAGAGAGACGGGGAAGGGCAGAGAGGAATGGAGGAAGTAACCCACTTGTAGGAAATCTGCGCGTCTTCTAGATTTCAAAGAAAGAGACTTTTTTTTCTTCTTCTTCTTTCTTTTTCCAAAATTGTTTTCTGGTGCAATGCTTCTGAGCAGCAATAATAATAATAAAGGATGGCAACCTTTTATGAATAAGTTTTCATTATTTTTCGATAAAGATGAGATCTTTTTCTGTTTTTTCCTTTATCTCTTACTTTATTAGCTCGTTTCTAAAATAAAATATTTTTCTCTCGTTTTCTGCAGTCAAATCTTCCGCTTATTATAAAGAGAAAAAAACAAAAGAAAAGTAAATAAAAAAAGGGGGCGAGGAAGGAGGGCCGGGGGCCGGAGAAAGGGTGGGTGGGCGGTGGTGGAGAGCAGACAGGGAGAGAAGAGGAGTAGAGACAAACACTGCACTGATTAATTGCCTTTCTTTCCATTTGTCTTCTTTTCTTTGATTTTCACAATTTTATTAATTTTTTTATTTATGCTTGAGTATAAACAATTTACTATAAAATTACCCTTTTCTACAAATGTAAGAAATCCATACTATTCAGCTTCGGTGAACCTAGTTGGTAAATATTCCGTTTAATACATGTAGTGGCGGAACAAGAATTTCGCTTAAGTTAAGTTTGACTTAAAATAAGAATATATAAAAAAATGATTTATTAATAATTAAATGACTCACGATGGCGTTTCATAGTTTGTCAACAAAATTTTCGTTTGAGATTGGAGAATTCAATACTAAATTAGGAATTAGTAAGCTCGTAATTAATAAGTCATTCCAGACAAGTAAAACGTAAACATGAAGTATTGAGATCGAGTATTATGAATTGTGTACAAGTATTATTATTTCTGGTGTCCTAATCTAGAGCAAAGGTGGGTCCAAAGTGGCTCCGCCACTGAATACACACATATATGAATGTACGTATTTTATGCGTTTACACTTTACAAATTCCATTTTGGTATTATTCTCAAGTTGTTTCATTTTGTCCATCTATTTCATGACTCACATACTAAACACGCATAAAACTCCTATAATGCATTTAATATCAGTATTTAATGAATTAAACTAATGAATTTAGCATTATTTATATATACATTTATTTTTAAAACAATTAGCTCTATATATTTCATGATTATCAAAAGTACTATTAGGCGTACTATTAGATTAGAGATGAAGTAAAAAAAAAATTGTATATATTTTACATGTAACCGATGGATCATATTTTACTAACTATGATGGTGAGTAGTCACTTTGGCAAGGTATAGTAGAGCAATCATTATTATCGGGTAGAGCAGAAGTGTTACCTTCTAACTATAAAACTGCCAAACAAACTAAAAGGATTCAACAGTTCCTCAGATTTCTGCATGAGTGATGGACACTTGGGTGGGACAGCTACACCCCAGATTGATGGTATAGGCTTCCTACAAGTGATCTTGTCAATTTCTAACCGCGCTTCTGATTGTTGTATGTTTGAGCGGTAAACCAAAACAATCATCTAAATTAGTAAATGACACATTTGGTCACTGAGATTATTAAATTGTGTCATGTTTAGTCACTAGAAAAAATTAATATCAATTTTGGTCACTCGAATTACCGAAACTGGTCAAATTTAGTCACTCTCCCGTCAGTTTCCGTCCAACTCCATTAATGTAGTTGGACGGAAACTTTTGGGAGAGTGACTAAATGTGACATGTTTCAGCAATACGAGTGACTAAATGTGACATTTTTCAATAATTCGATTGACCGGAATTGGACAGAGGCTACAGAAGAGTGACCAAATGTGACCTGTGTCAGTAATTCGAGTGACCAAAATTGATATTAAATTTTTCTAGTGACTAAATATGACACGATTTAGTAATCTCAGTGACCAAATGTGTCATTTACCCATTAACTATGCCTACTTTATTGGTCTTTCTTCGATTCTTGATTACGGCCAAATCATTTGGAGCATCTAAACCCCAGGTAGTGTTTTCTGTTCTCACTTTTTTTTTTCACTCGATGCACTCGCCTTATAATCATCATTTCGAACATGCAATTCATGTTAAAACGGTATCAATTATATATTTCGTCATATTTAAAGTTTAACACGTTGAGTATGTGAGCAAATATATCTTATTTTATATTTTAAAAAGAAATTATGTATCATAGATTGCTTCGATACTATGAAATAATATGATTTGAAGTAGTTAAATTTATTAACTAAATGATATATGATACCAACAAAGTATAATATGAGATTAGCTAACAAAATAAATCATATGTATCATGATATACAAAATGAAGTACCAAATAGAAATCAATATTTTAGTAAACAAATTAGCTCGAGCTCGACTCATTTATTAACGAGCCGAGGTTAAACCAAAGTAAAACTCGGCTCGGCTCATTTGCAGCCCTACAACTACTTGCCTCCATATGGCATCTGCCAACAGCCCACAACGTTTGTTTCTGGGCCCGCCTCGCATTCAGCCAACCCTCCTCCCAAGGTTGCTTCGTTAATTGACACGTGGGTGGTCTTTCATTGGCTGTACGTGTGCCATGGGTCCTTCTCTTCTCTGTCTCTGGTCCAAGGCGGACGCTTATTTTGATTTTCATCTGCATTTATAGCGTGGCCGTGTGGTCATGTGGGTTCTTGAATTGAATCGAATAGCAAAACGTACGGACTGTTCCGTGTGAGTGGTGAATATGTAAATATGTAATACTAATATGCACTTATTCTTCGGGGTGATGGTAGGAGTGTTCAAATAGTTATCATAGGTAATTATAAAATCAAATAAATTTAAATCTTATTATATATAGAATACAACATCATAATCAAATCATTCAAATTTCGACAACAACCAAATTAAATTTTAATTGGTTTGGTTATTTGGTTAATCAAATTAACCATCGTCAAGTGAGAAAAAAAATTCCGGTCAATTCATTAATTCGTAATTTATATAAGGAATAAAACAATCGAGTTTCCACCTTCTATTGAGTTTACAGGATGAAATGAGAAACATCACAATCAGATTATGCAGAAGAGAAGGCAACAAGGAGACAAGGTTTCAATGTTTATGATACTCCACTAAATAGCGTATTGATAGGCCACCTATTTTTTTTTTTAATCCAAAAATTGTTAGCGGACTATTATTCTCTTTATTTCTAATAGAATTTAATAAAGAGTTACATATTGATGATAATAACAAAAAAATTGTCGAACATGCTCAAACACCGACATAGCTAATGCCAACAATCATTTGTTCTACTTGTTAGATCTGTTATGAAATTTACTACCTATTTTAACTATACTTTGAAAGTTGAGAGGCATGCATTCACGACCTGAGTGTTTTGGAAATAATTACTTGACTAGCTAGATGTGAACTTCATACTTTTTTTTAAGATTTTTTCAATATAAATGAGCAATGGGTTAAACTCTACCGGCTGTCTTGAATCTTGATCCAAGTCTCCAGTCGAGTAAAGAATCCAAATGCACCCTGTTTAATTTAACCTTGTGAGGCCATAGTCAAAGTTGTTTTTGTAATCGAGAAAATGAGATTGTTGATGGTCAAAATGGCAACCATATAGATAGCGTAGCATGTACGACTGCGTCTGGTGAAAACAAACGAGAGGTTGGGAAGGAAATTTATCTGCTCCTCCATTCGCAATCTCAACACAAACTTTGCGTCCCAGTCAATGGCATTAATTATGAGTGGCTGGCATTAACCAATATATAAATAGATAAGAAATGACAAACTTCTTGTAGTTGAGATGAGAAGACAATTCATTTCCACGCACATGTGGATGGATAGTGAGGACTATAGATATGCATAATTTGAATTTGCATAATCCATTAATCAATTTTACGTGGTTGTTTATTCTTGTTTTCACAATGTCTTTATTCACACGTAGCGATTTTGGCCCTTAAATATTTTAGAGGTTGTTTGAAAAAAAAGAGTTTGACATCACTGTGAGTTGTTGGTCTCAGCGTTGAGCAGGCTTGGGTTTCTGTGGAACTTCACTCAAGTCTTGTCGCCTCGTTCTTACTAGATAGGATTGAATTCTCCTCGCATTGCCTCTCTGATAAGGTTTTGATAACACCTTTGATGACCTCAATGGCTCCGGACTTAGCTCATTTGTTATCGACTTGGTACCACACTCGTCTCATTACCTAGTCCTTCTCGTGGACTTATTATCCTCGTATTTGCTAGCCACGCCAATTAAACCATCTTGTTAGATGGGTCGTGTTTCCCATCCAGACCTTGTTATCCATCTTGACGAGATGAGAACTTAACCCTTCTCATGTTTAAGAACATCACCCCTCATCTTGTCATTTTGGACCAATTACATTTTATCAGTTTGTCACCCATAGCTGACTTGCCACCAAGACGTCTCATCGACTTGATACCTTCCGACTTGCCACCAAGCTCGTCTCACCGATTTAGTATCTTGCCATTTTATCACCAAGTTTGTCTCATTGGCTTGGTCTCCATACTTAGTTTTGGATGACCTCTAAGTGAGCTTGACACCAAGTATGCATTGTAAAGTTTTTTACCTTGCCGCCTCGCGAGCAAGCCCGTCCTGTTGGCTTGCCACCAAACTCATGTCATCACCTTGATACCTTGCCACTAGGAGGCTAGGTACCCTACCTCCTGTTTGGCAAGCTAGTGTTGTCAGCTTGTAAGCAAGACCATCTCATCGGGTTGATACCTTGTCAGCATGGTATCAAGTCTGTCTAATTGGCTTGATCTCCTACCGCCACGCATGTAAACCCGTTTTGTCAGCTTGATGATTGAGCACCTGTCTGATAAGTCCCATCCATTAAGTGTATTTACTTAGTTTTTAGGAGTAAAATCTCATACGCACTAAAGCTCGCTGGTCATCGAAGTCCAAAAACATAATCCAGTAAGGCCCAATTTAGATCATTTAACTTTTAATGTTGAGTTGGACTTATAAAGTTATTTAATCCCTTGTATTTAATTTATATATTATATCATTAATTTTTAGGCGTGAACAACGGCAAAAGCGGAGAGAGAGGGTAATAGGGTTGACCCTAGTTCAGGAGGAAAATAGTTAAATTAGGTACAATAGTTAATTGGTATCGAAAATTAGGGTGCGTCTAAT